CGGAAACGTAGTGAAAGGCGAGGGGACTCACGTTAAAAAAGCACCCCAATAAGGAGTTTAAAACCGTACTGCAACCTCCACGTGGTAAACTCTGGAAACTATAAAATTTAAAAAGTATACATATTATAGGCTAATTGCAGACGTACATATGTGCTAGTAAAGTTACATCGAACACCCGCAACGCGGAATGGCACTGCACTGTGCGCCGGAGTGACGCGACGCTTACGATTTTCGTATTTTTAACTATGTTCCACTATTTAAAAAAAATTGAAAAAAATATAAGTTATAGTGGACACTTTAAGAGAAATTTTCGTAAAAATTTCAAAGGGGTACCTCGAAAATATCACCCTAAAAAAATATATTTAAAAATTCAAATATTTTTTTTTTGGTCTTTTTTTTGGCAAACATTTTGGACATTTTTTTTGTTAATTAGTTTTATTAATCTACATAACATATATTTTTTTCATCAAGATCGGTCAAGTGGTTTTCGAGAAAAATATATTTCTTTATTTTACTTTCTCCCTGCATAACTTCTAAAAAAATGAATTTTTTAAAATAATATTTGGTGGAAAGTTTTATCATATTGGTACTAACTTGTGACATTAATGTCAGCTCTGTATGATCAAGGGCCGATTTCACATGCTTACTCCGCTAGGCCCTTTGGGTTAAAGCCGCAATTGAATCGAAGAACACATTAACTTTTTATTAAAATCTTATATATAAATATTCTGCATCATGTATGGTTCTGGATCATATATAATCCACATAAGTTATCTTATTAAATACAAATTAAAACCATATTTGATTCGAAGTGTTATATGATCCACATAAGTGATCTAATTAAATTTTAATTAAAGTTCTATTTTATTGTGGATCATATTTAATCTACATAACTGATTTTAATAAGTGCAAATTAAAACTATATTTAAACAAATATAATTTTAATATAAAATCTGGATTTAATTTGAATTTTACCCAAATTAAATATGATTTAATATGATTTTAGTTAGATACAAAAGAATGCATCGAGATTAATCAATTTTTTTACATTTTATTGATATTCTGTTTCTGAATTCATATTATGTTACTACGTATTAGCAAATTTTTCAATAATTTCCACGATTGTATGGTAAATAAATCGTAACGGAAGCGTTAACTAGGTATTCAAATATTCACAACTTTAATCGGTTTCATCATTATCATTTACGTAGAAGTATAATACATATATAACACAGAAACTATAAATATAGAGGAGATATGATTTAGTTTCGACTTCACTCTTGAGTGTTTCAATTGCCGTGCTTCCACTTCCTATTGGTACGTATATATGAAATTGTATTTGATTCTTTTCTTTATTTTACATTTATGTCTGTTTACTCAAAAAATAAATAATGATATTTTGTTGTAGAATTTGTCTGTTTCGAAAAAATAAAGATACTATGAATCGACCAAACTCATATATCAGCGTCGATGCTGAAGAAGAAATTGTTATTTCTGGTATTGCTGGCCGATTTCCTAATACCAACAATCTCAAAGAGCTACGAGAAAATCTTCTTAACAAAATGGATCTTGGTTCGAGCGATCACGGACGATGGAATAACTGTAATAAACTTTTCCCTTAAGACTAGAGACTAGATATATTTGCGTATTTATCTTATATCTATTATTTAAATATAACTGGAGATCACACAAACGCGCGCTACGCGCGCGCTATTTCATTTTGATATATATAATACTATTACTATTACATTTTACACTATTAACCTTTTGATACACAAAACTGTCAAAATATGCGGTGACAGATGCTTACGAAGTAAAAACAGTGATAGAACCGAGTGTATGAAGTTAACCCCCCTTTTTTTGAAATTCATATTTTTGAAAGTTGTTCCAGGTTGTTCTGACTTTGTACTACATTGTTCCAAAACGATATTTCTTAATTCTCAACAGTTTTTTAATAAAATAAAAAAAAACAATTTTTTGGCTGGCCCCCTTTTTTCGAAAATCGAATGTTTTTATCGCTACAGTTTGTTTTAGTTGTTCCAAACATTGTTCCAAAGTATTAGTTCGATTGGTTAAAAACTTTAAGAGATATTGAAAAAAGAAATCATTTTTAAAATAACAGTTTTTGGCCATTTATTCGTAAACAAAATGACTTACAAAACTGTCGATCTAGAACATATTTCTAACCGCGTAAAACAACTCAGAACAAAATTTTTAAGACTAGAACAAGAACCTAAAGGGTACTTTACTCTTCATCGGAAATATTATTTTTCAATTTTCTTCGTTAAAAATCTTGTTCCAGGCTTCCTGCTTTAAAACTATCGTGTTCTCCACTGGAACAACTCAGAACAAAATTTTTAAGACTAGAACAAGAACCTAAAGGGTACTTTACTCTCCATCGGAAATATTATTTTTCAATTTTCTTTGTTAAAAATCTTGTTCCAGGCTTCCTGCTTTAAAACTTTTGTGTTCTCCACTGGAACAACTCAGAACAAAATTTTTAAGACTAGAACAAAAACCTAAAGGGTACTTTACTCTTCATTGGAAATATTATTTTTCAATTTTCTTCGTTAAAAATCTTGTTCCAGGCTTCCCGCTTTAAAACTATCGTGTTCTCCACTGGAACAACTCAGAACAAAATTTTTAAGACTAGAACAAGAACCTAAAGGGTACTTTACTCTTCATCAAAAATATAATTTTTCAATTTTCTTCGTTAAAAATCTTGTTCCAGGCTTCCCGCTTTAAAACTATCGTGTTCTCCACTGGAACAACTCAGAACAAAATTTTTAAGACCAGAACAAGAAGGTTAGAAATGTGTTCTAGATCAACAGTTTTGTAAGTCATTTTGTTTACGAATAAATAACCAAAAACTGTTATTTTAACATTTTTTCTTGTTTCAATATCTCTTAAAGTTTTTAACCAATCGAACTAATACTTTGGAACAATGTTTGGAACAACTAGAACAATCTGTAGCGATAAAAAATTTCGATTTTCGAAAAAAGGGGGGCCAGCCGAAAAAATTGTTTTTTTTAATTTTATTAAAAAACTGTTGGGAATTAAGGAATATCGTTTTGAAACAATGTAGTACAAAGTCAGAACAACCTGGAACAATTTTCCAAAATATGAATTTCAAAAAAAGGGAGGCTAACTTCATACACTCGATAGAACCAATCGGCATCGAAAAGAGGCCTCAATTCTTTGATAAAAAATAAATTCACTCAGGTAACGTGCCTTTTTTAAGGTTAGACTAGTGACTAGAACACTACAAGCGCGCGCTACGCACGCGCTATTTATATAGCTTTTTTTCTATATCATTACACAAAACAACATTTACAAAGCTATTGCTCTGTAATAATAACACATTAAGAAAAATTTAACGATATATACATACACGGAAAAAAAAGAAGTTGTAAAATAGGGACAACTAACATATTTTG